GAGAGAGAGAGAGAGAGAGAGAGATCAGGTGTCAAGTTACCTGGAATAGTTCGTTTTTTTGTTTTGTTTTGTCAGCAGGGATTGGTCATGCAAAATAGCGTGCTCACTCTCTGAATTTGCGGAGCTTCTAAACACAACATAGCAGCAGTCTTTAATACAGACTTTGAGACAGGGGCATGTTAGGCACCCTTTAAGTCAGATTCAGTTTCACAGCCATAGAGAGTAAAGGGGGGAGAGAGAGAGAGTCAGACCAGGATTTGCGGTTAAAGCCATTGGAGCAGGAAAGTGAGAAGAAAAGGACTAAGGACGTACACTGGACAGTGAGCTTCTGGGAAGTCCCAACTTCAGGAAGGGAGGAAGAGTGTCAATTCCGAGCTGCCTCTCAGATGAGCTGCATCTGGGCCTAATCTAACCAAAAAATATAACTGCATCATGTGGGTGAGTGCAACCAAGAGCAGAATCAACATGTTCATCAGGAAGTTGTCAAGACAATGGTTTGCATTGGAGGGGCTGTTTTAACAACATAATCACTGTGTATGCTGATAGGATGTTTGTTATCATGCTATGTTACAAAGACATATCGTCATGTTTTAATGTTCAAACTGTTTCTGCTGCATCATAGCAGGGGTTTTGTTTTGCATGTGTGAATTCATTTACATATCAGATTAAAAACAACAGGAGTTGAGCCTTAGATTTCAAAGGTGGGAATTAAATTTGATTAAAAATCTCTCAATTGTAAGATAAAAACCGGATGTGGGAAAGCAGACTTCCAGAGCTTAGGCTCAGCAACAGACAAATGTCGGACCCCTTTAGTTTTTAGATGAGAAAGGGGGTTTGAAAGAAGTTGTTGTCAGGAAGAGATCAGTGATAAATTGAGGGGCAAGACCAATGACTGAGAGCTTTGTAGAAAAATAGTATGCTGGACGATGCAATTGTAACATTTCAGTATTTATGTGTCCACCATCTATCATGTGTGCAAGCATTTGTGTCTTAGTGAATACAGCTTTGCTTATATTAATGTACATATGCCTGTTTGTGCCTGTAAACATCCAAGCATTTTAACAACACTGGTCTAGATCTCTGCCTTCGATTAAAGCTCGTCCAACATGCGTAGATTCTCAAAAGCGCGTAGATTCTCAAAAGCTCTTTTGTGAAAGTTTCAGTTCAAGGGAACATAATCCAACAACGCTGTGAAGCAGCATTGGGGAGCAGAACAAACTGAACAAAAGGTTCACTGCACATTGGCTTTTTGTCTGTTGACCCAGTTAGACTTGTTGCTGTTGCCAGAGCATGTTCCATATGGATCAGTCTGATAAAAAAATGAAAAAGAGTGACAGAAATAATATTCACCTGACTCTGGCTCAAAACTGGTTTCTGTTAGTCATGTTTCCAATGATGAGAATTTCCCAGTTAGCACTATCATCATGTGTCACAACGCGACAAAACAGATCCTGTATTTTCATGTACGTGTTTGTCCGTTTTCGAGAGCATGACATTCTCTTGCCATCGTCGTGGTTTCCCAGGTTGGATGGACCGCCCACTTTCTTTCATTTATCTTGCTTATTTAACCTGACACATTCATCAGGTGATGATGACCTGAGATCAGTGATGAGTACGTGATTCAAATGACTCATCTTATTTTAAAATAGAAGAAAGATATTGTAGGTTTTGAAACATCTACTTTAAACTCTGTATACTGGTGGAAAGTTTATATTTGAAAATCTCTCATCTTGAAAATCAGGTGAAGAGACTTTTGAGGTAATTTAAGAAAATGGGGTATTTCATAATCACCCTACGTCCAGTTATATAAAAAGGCACAGTATATGGCTATAAACGTATTATTTGAAACTTTGCCACAAGTCACTACAAGTTGTGTTACAAAGCAAAATGCTCCAAGGCTCATTGCACATTGTGAGTGAAGCCTTCCTTATTTCAATGAAAAGAGAAATCTGAGAATGATCCTCACAGAATTCCTCCCCCCAAAAAAAGACAATACATAATTTTGCCGTTTTCTCATTATGGAGTAAATACACTTTGCTTGTTGTTTCACTGACAAGAGCCATCAACCAATATCATTACATCTCTTGTTTCAAAGTGGAGTTTGGCAACATCCTTTAACTGAATTAGCAGCAGTTATTTTAGCCTTGCAGCAAAAACATATGCATATGAGGGAGTTTACCGAAACTACTCTTTAAAGCAGAAGTGAAATTTAGTGAAATTCAGTATTACAGGTTCTCCAAGTGTCTGGCAATTCCTTATTTGGTCATGAAAGATTCCACATTTTATCTAAATACATCAACTTACATGCAGCATATTCTGTAAAACTTTGTTAGTCTGATTTTGTATGAAAAGCTGCGAGGACAAGACAAAGGCAGAAAAGCAGATGGACAAAACAAATGCTGTCAGCAGCCATACTGTGACGCTTGAGAGCTGTTAAGTAGTTGTGTGTGCCATAATTAAAAAGTAGAAGCCTTTCCTTTTAATTTTCTAAAGAATTCTACAGTAAAATCCTCTGAAACTTGACATACAGACAGTGGGGTCATCATAACCAAGAGTGAGGTGAAATATCTGTGTCACCTTTAAATAATATTTAATATAAGCAACTTATGAGTGATATAATAAAAAAGTAGCCAACTTTGCTTTTCACTTTCATAAAAACATAAATATATAATGTTCCATTTCATTATACTTGTTATTGTCTTGTGTGGAAATCAAACCAAACCTTCATAATAATTTGTCTCTGGCCTGTTCTCCGCGCCAATGACCTTTACCGTAAGACCAGGAATAGACGCGCATCCGTTTTCAGACTTAGCCAAAGTTAGACGCTAGCCCGGATCATTGAGAAGCACTTAGCCGCTACATGCTAGGCTTAGCTTTCGACTGAGCTTTCAGAGAGGTTAAATGAAACTTAAATGATATTTCTGAGTGACCAAAGGGTTTAATTTGATCCACTTGTTGTAAAATCGTGTAAGATATTCAACTTAAAACTGTTGAACTTAAACCGATTTGTAGCTAGCTAGGTAGCTGGTTAAAGCTATTTAAAGCTAGCCGCCTATCAGTTTAGGTTAAAGCGGGGTAAATGTTAACTCAAATGCCCAGCTCTATCAAAAGTAACATATAACAAGTCCACAGCCTCAACATACACATAACATCATGTAGAGACATTAAAAAGCAGGTGATGTGAGTGAAGAAGCAGCCATCTTACCTATAAGAGGTGTTTAATTAGCGTCTCCATCACCACTGTGGTGTCTGTCCCCCTGTCTCTGACCAGCTGACACACCGCAGTGGCTAAAGAGACACGGCCGAGAGGACACCACATATAAATCTCTAATCTTATCTCCAGGAGAGGCAGCTCCACTTGTTTACAATCTGCAGCCACACTGTCAACCTGTAGCTCCACAGAAGAGACCACACGTCCCACAGCATGGTAAGAGTGAATCCAGATTGACTGTAGTCATAGAAATTAAACATGTTCGTTTCTCCACCAGCCCACGTGTTATGTTAGCCTTGGGTTTTTTTAAGTACCCATTTATTCTCAATGAGAAAATGGTAGAACAGCATAGATTGTGATGTTTGTCAGATCTACTGCAGCAGACTGTTAACAACAAAACAGATTATTGCTAATGGTGAACAATTCCTTCAGAGCTGCAACTTTCAACAGCCTAACTACTCATCTGCTTTCACAATGAATTTGGCCACAAATATAGTGACATTTCTCCGTTTGACATTTTATATCATCATTCAATCAATTATATTCAATTTACTGTTTTTAGATGATAAAGAAAAGCTGCAAAACATAAGAATGTTTAGAATTGTTGCATGCAATTTGTTTTGCATGAAAAGCTTCTCAAACCAGTAATCGCTTATCAAAATAACTTGCAGTTACTTGTCTTTCATAAATTTCTAATGAAATCAGCTCTGATTCTTATCCTTAAACCTGTTTCAGGGTACCATTGGTGTTTAAACTTTGTACTTGAGGTAAATTATCTGGTGATACATGTTTAAATGTCTGAGTTAAGAGAGACTTCACTGGCTAGTCCCAGGTTAAGTAACTCAGGCTTCATCAGGTTCATTACAAGAAAGATGAGAAACAAACAAGATATTTCTTTTTTGAGCTTTGTGCTCCACATGATACTGTCTGGGGTTTTTTTTTGATTGTTAAATGTCGGATAATATTAGCCCTTCAGGCTTCATTTTCATTATTCGTGTGAAAGCCATTTGAGAAATTAAAAAAAAAACCTCCCTGCAAATCACTCAGCTGGTCTCATACATCTCGTCACTTATTCATTCTAAAGGTACAACAGCCAAAAGGTCGGAACTGTAGCTCCAGAGGATGCCGCCCAGAGTGCCCACTGTTCTATGCTATAACTCTTCCTACACCATTCCCTCCCAATACAGACTGAAATCTTCCCTTATGTAATCATGAAACCAGGATATAGGTGATATTCTGCTCAGGAATACTTGAGTAGTGTTGGGTTCTACCCATCTTGCTCCTGTGGTTGAAGAGCGGGCACACCTCTCTATATCACCCTGCAATACGAGAGCGTGTTCTTTCCCCACAATATCATCTGCATTTGAATGGACGCCTCACAAGGTCCCAGTGGACTCCTCCACACTGCGTCCCACTGTCTGTCACTTTCATGGTGGGGTATAGTAGTCTGTGCGTTAACAGATTATGGGAACTGCCTTCAGCATTTGGAATTGAGTGTAATATGACAAATGGGTGTTGTAAGACAACTGGTGGTCTTACATTGTGTTCCATATTCCATATAGCACACCTGTTGTTGTCTTTTGGGGCCAATAGATGTGATTCATGCTCTCATGTATTTGAACAATTACAAATGTGCAAAGATATTATGTAAGCTCAGATAATTATGTACAAACTTAGACACATCATTACACAATGTCAAACTCCTCCTAGACACAAACACACACACACTGGGAATTTCCTCTCAAGGTATATCTTGTTTTGACACCTGTGTTCACCTCCTCTCTTGTTTTACTGTAAGTATCTCATTCTTTCCCCAGACAACCATCCAGCTGCCAGAGGAAAGCAGTCAACCATTGAATCAAAGACAGGCAGGTAAGCTGTGGGCTGGTGTTGTATTTGTGTTCACGTAAAGCATGTTGCTGCACTGATGGGAGAGCCCCAATATTATGATGTGAAATACTTGGAAAGGAAAGCGTGGGACAGTACTGATAGCAATCTCTTCGCTAAAATTTCCTCTTAATGTCATTCTTCATTTGCTTTGTGGTTTCTCTTCTCTCATCTCATCTTTGTTGCCTCACAAACTGTATGTTTTTACCCCTCCCCCACTCTGCTTCATAGTGATTCCACGACCAGGCCGCCACAGAAAGCCCATGACGGCTCCAAAGACTCAGAAAGACAAGGCGTCTAAGAGGAAGAAAGTGTTGCTGACTATCTTGACTGTGGTGGTGCTCCTGGGGATACTGGCCACTGCAGCGTATTTCAGTGAGTCACAGATGTTGACATTTGATCCTTCCTCGAAAGACACACCCATACAACACAGGATGACCTGCCAAAAAAGGCCTCACCTAAATATTTAGACTTAATTGTTTTTTTTAAAGTGTAATTTTTTTGGCAGGATTCAGTTTCCTCACTGTCAACTCATCAAAGCTTAAAGCTATTTCAAACTGAGTTCTTCCCTCCTTTTCCTTCCAGTTAAGCAGCTGATTGAGACCAAGTACTTCTTCTGCTCGCGTTCACTAAAGTTCATCCCAATAGAAGTAACCTGTGATGGGAAAGATGACTGTTCTGGAGGAGAGGATGAAGTTACTTGTATGTCAAGATTTACGGTCAACTCCACCTTTCCAGGTAAAGCAAACACTCAACCCTTTATTTGCATTTTCATCACACACACAGAAACAAAGCTTGAAAACTGACTCCTCTTTGCCGTCCCTCCCTCCCTCCAGTGCGTCTCATATCAGGTAAGCACATCCTGCAGGTATACAGTCCCAGCTCAGGCTGGAGGAGTGTGTGTAGTGACGACTGGACCGAGCAGCACACACAGAAAGCATGCAAGTACCTGGGATACACAAAGTGAGTCTCTGACTGTAGGTTGTGTTTCATATGTATCAAATGGATGATTTGACCTGAACTCAAGTCTTACATGTCCCATCCTCTGTCTTAACAGTAAACCTCATAGCACCAATGTCCCAGTGGGCACTTTACTGTTCTCCTTGAAAACTGGACCGTTCGCAGCCATCGGGCCAGGGGCGAAAACCGCACCCATACACCAGGCTGCCATTGATCGGTGAGGAGGCGTCACATCTATCTAATAATTGCATAAATCTCTCTCTGTCTATATGTGGCTCACATATGTTGGGGACCATTGCCTTTATCCGCTTCACACTTGTCATGTCTATTGTTTAATGGAAGTGGACTCATCAACAGATATCTCGAGCTTCACCGAACTTTGAATGAACAGGTGAAAGTCTCATTGTGCAGCAGTGGAGGTGCAGCTTCAGTCCTACAGCCAGTCTTTATCTCAGCGTTTCAGTTACTGCTGGTCACTTTTACAGCTTCAAAAAGAAAGCAACAACCAGTACAACCATAGACCCAACAAACAGCCCATTCCAGGATTAGAACAGCCGCTGCACTCGTTTCTCATCAAATACTAAAAGAGGCTGTTGACTTTAAAGATAGCTCTCTATTCTTAATCTCATATGTCTCTTGTACACAGCAAGTCAGAGATTCTGTTCGTAAAGTTTCTCTTCCTGAAAGAAAAAAACTCCCTCAGTTTTTGTTCCCCCTGTGTCTTGTCGCCTATGTGAGTCAACAAAATGCGTTAATTAAATGAAACTCGAACAGGGAGAAACAGTTTGACTGGGGGGGGGGGGTGAAGTCAGGTGAAGAAATTTCAATATTTGTAGTGATTGTGTGTTCTGTCTGTTTGACTTGAATTGTGCAGTCATTTGAGACACGTGTGTAATGGCTGTTTTCTTCCAACAGGCGTGTTTGCAGATCTGGATCTGTGATATCTTTGTCCTGTTCAGGTGAGTTTTATTTTTAGCAAAGCAACCAACGTCATTGGGCTGGTGGTGGGAGTGGAAGATGAAATAACTGGTTTCACACCACCAGGCCCAGACATGTCTACAGCATGCAGTGAAACTCTTGTTTTGGAAATATGTGACAGAGGAGGTGCTGTCATGCATGTACAATAAATCAGAATGGAAATTGTGATGAAAAAGAAAGAAACAAGACGACTTTCCCTTGTCAGACTGCGGAGAGGTGGGCTTTCAGGACCGTATCATCGGGGGCTCAGATGCCCTCATCGAGGACTGGCCCTGGCAGGTCAGCCTGCAGCAGGGTGGGCAGCATACATGTGGAGGCTCGCTGGTGTCACCACGTTGGGTAGTCACTGCTGCCCACTGCTTTACAGGGTCTGTACGCTCTCCAAATATACCATCCATGATAACGTATAATGCACAACCTATTGCTCACACTTCCTCTTCCTCTCTCACTTGGTTTGGGCCTTGCAGCAGTAAAAAGGAGCTGAGTCGCTGGAGAGTGGTGTCAGGTCAGACATTCATGGGAACGCTGGGAGGTTCCTATGTGGACAGAATCATAGTAAACGGAAATTACGACCCAGCGCGCAACGACTATGACATAGCGCTGATGAGACTCAGAAGCCCGATCACAGTCGCAGGTTAGAGTTCAATTCGATATTATTGAAACACACAGACAGAAATTACTGCACATTACAGATTGGAATATTTATTATTTAGACTGTAGCTGAATTTTAACCTTAACATTTGTAAGAACATACAGTAGGCTACTCTATTGCCATCTAGTGGAGTGCATGTCACACAGCAAGCTCTTCACTGAAGCTCAAGGTCAAATGTATTTGTTTAATGCATTATCATACACAGAGGTCATTCAATGTGTTTTACAGAAACAAGTGAAGCATGAAACCATAAAAAGGGTAAAACATTAAAAACATCTTAGACAGCACAGAAACTAATTGTAAAACAGATTATGTCTAAGTGTAGGATTAAGTGAAGGCACTGAAAAATTTAGCACTTCTTTTAAAAGTAGTTGTTTGATAACTTTAACCATGCCTTCAAACTGTAGAATTACAAAAGTTAATAAGAACTCCTGTCCTCCAGATGCCCGCAAACCTGTTTGTCTCCCCCCTGAAGCCTTTGGCCTGGCTGCCGGAGCCTCCATGGCTGTGACTGGCTGGGGATACCTGGAGGAAAATGGTGAGGAAACTACACACAACCTCAAGTATTTATCAACATGAATTTGTAAAAACAAAAATCTGTGAAGTGACCGCCACCACTCAAATGTTGCATGCCTGTTCTGTCATCAGGTAAAGTTTCTCCTTCACTTCAGAAGGCCAGCATCCCTCTGATCGACCACACTGTGTGTTCCAGTCCCAAAGTGTACGGTAGTTCTGTAACACAAAGGATGATGTGTGCCGGCTTCCTGGAGGGGAAGGTCGATGCTTGCCAGGTAACAGGCAGAAAGGAATATTTGATATCTATCTTTAATGTATTAGTAGTTGCATTTTAAAGGATAGCCCAAAATGTATGGTCTCTCCTGGAAAATGTTTTGGTTATTAACATGGTATCAAATTGTTACTGTGCTCTTGAATCCCAGGGGGACAGTGGAGGCCCTCTGGTGCACTTCACTTCCTCCCGGTGGCATCTGGTTGGAGTGGTGAGCTGGGGCGTTGGCTGTGCCCGGAAAGGAAGACCAGGTGTTTACTGCAACGTGGAAGAAATGCTCAACTGGATTCATACGACCATTGAGGTACACAATACAGACAACTTTGTGCGTTTCAGCTGCATCTCAGTTTGTTGAACTCCAGAGACATTGACCTTTCTAAGTTAAAAGTCAATGAATGCAAAATATAGTACAGGTTTTGGGAGGAAACCACATCAAAACCGAACAATTTCTTGTTAAGGGCTGAAGTTGACTGACGTTTTCTTTTTGCATAAATGTTTGAATCAATGTTACTCCTCTATATGTATGTAAGACACTATCTTTTCTCTTGGAGTTTGTTTTTCCTGTAAATAAGTTTTGTAGTTTTCCTCTCACTTTTTGAGGGTTGAGGACAGAGACTGTCTCACCTTGTTTGTTCACCCAGATTGTAAAACACTATAGGCAAAGAGTGATTTGTGAATATGGTTAATATGAATACGATGTAATTGATTTCTGAATTGATAGTTGGAGAAAGGAAGATGGTAAAAATTGTTAATGTGAAACTAGGTTTAGTGAATATGCTTTACAGTTGCTGTCAGTTTAAACTTTCACAATACATACTGTAATGACAGAGACAAAAATTAACAACTGCAATATACAATTTTTTCCCTCTATCCTTACAGAAAAACCCCTGAGGTTGCCCACAACAGATCTCGTGACCCTAAGACGTGAGACAAAAGAAGGGGAAGTGAAAGAGGCATCTCAACAACAAACTGTTAAATGCAACCAAATGCAAAGTGTTGTTTGTGTCATTTCAGGTTCTTATCTCAGGGGTATATTCATGTAGCTGTCCGTTGTTTGCCAGTCTGAGGTCTTCTTAGCAGAATACTCATGCATGTGTTTAGCATGGGTTATTAGCGTTAATATCAGTTACTAAAATAGAATATGTGATCTCTGACACTAACGAGAGGATAAAGGTAATAACTGTTTTAACTGTGAAGATGTAGTGCATTACCAAACTGGCCGACCTCAGGCGTCATGTACATGATGAATGTTTTTAGGTGTGAAATGTGAGGGATCATAGGGTAAACTGCTGCGTGTGAGTCAGTGTGAAGCCTCAGGTTAATATCACCAGTCCAGTAAGTTTAATGCATTTGTGGTACTGATTCACTTGATCTGATCTGTGTTACTATTCAAGGGCAATCGCACCTTTTTACTGTACAGATTGTGTGTTCTCTCTCTACCACAGAATGACACAGGCACTTTAGCTGGAAAGGGGTGTGTGTGTGTGTGTGTGTGTGTGTGTGTGTGTGTGTGTGTGTTTAAAGTGACTAGTCCAATAATGCACTGAAGGATGTCAAATCACAGTTGTGTTCATGGTGCTTCCACATGGAGTCTTAAAAGTGCACCTAGTTTTCCATTCACATCTTATTAAAGATGGCGGTCATGTTGTTTTTACCTTCACCAACAAAGGATATAAATGTAACTTCCTGAAACTCAAGCGTGTGGTATGTTAATTTTTCAAATTTGTGCACTCAGGCAAAACCCCCACAAGGTTTCTTCATTTTAAAGCAATCTGTTGTACGGTAAATCAAAATTTTTTTAATTTATCATTCTCTGGTTAACAGACTTAACAAAAGTAGAAATTAGCACTTGACTTGAAGTAATGGTCAATATATTGTATATACTGTATATTAAAAAAATACTGAACACAGATAGGAATTTTTTTTCAAGGTTTGCATGCAATTTGGCACATTTGACTGTATATAGGGTACTTGTTGATTTTATGTCTAAATGTGTTGTAAATACAGTATAATAAAGACATCTGCTTTTATTTGATCCCTCCTTGTTCCATTATGTGTCATTTTCCCCCCAAAACACACACACACTCCCACAACGAGAAGTAGGGAAGTGAAATTACAGATTACAATTTTAATCTCAAATTTCCAACTGTAGTCGTCTCACATATCTGGCTTTTCATGCAGCAGTTTGATTAAATCCTACTTTAGATAAATTCAATGCAACTTCCACACCGTAAAATGATTCTTCTGTCACCCTAGGTCCTGAGTTGAAAATACTGCCCCCCAACGGTGGACAGATGCCATTGACTCATTGTGTGTGTGTCCAGTTTACCACTTTCCACATCTAACACAAAGCTTTCTGAGACTCTGCAATCAAAGCATTTGACAGCGGGAAAAATATTGTAAAAACAAATCAACTATTGAAATATATGAAAAAAAGAGATTTATTATTCCTGAATATCAGAGTACTAAAAATGCTAATGACAAAACCCAGCACTGCTCAGATATGAACAGTAGGAATGCACTTCATTAGTTAGTTCAATTGGTGTGGCTGGAAAATGTGAAATGTGCAAACTGCAGACCTTGTACAATAAGTCTTGTATGAAAGCAAGCACCCAAAGATCTCAAACCTTAAGCAATAGTAACTTACATAAAGAATTATCTATTGTGAACACTAGGAAGGTTTAAGAGAAAATTCAAACATTCACTTTGAAGTACATCAAAACAGCAGCAGCTCACTTCCTTTTTTTTTTGGGAAAATCAGCAATATTAATAATCATTATAGAATAGAAGCACTTGGTGGTTATCTCCACTTGGTGGTTATCTCCGTGAAGGGTGGCCGCGGCCTTTGAATGGGTTATCCTGAAAAACAAATACCATTTATTTTAAAACATTTTCCAAGGAAAACTGAAAAGTTATGAAAAATATAGTTAAGTTAAGAAAACACAATACATATAATTATGTATAAATGGTAGGGGTATACTGTGCTTTTAAAATAAGTAATGTAATAATTAAAGAGATCAGAAATTCCGATCAGTTTCATTTACTGTCATAAAGTGATCAAAGTTTACAGGACAAGTCATTTTCACCTATGGAAACTAAATATTGTTTGCACCCTGACACTTCAGAAAGATGATCTGTCCTTTCTTATAATCTCTTGTTACCTCATCATCATCATCACTGTCATCAAATGCAACTCCTCGAGATGACTGGCTCTGGGTCTGAGAGCTGCTCTTATTGAAGGACGAGGATGCTGATCTGTGGTGAGAAGGAACCAGATGAAAAAATAAAACAAATTTGTTTTCAAAATAAGAAGCTGGTGAAGGGAAGGAAAGAGTATAGACTCAGTCGCAACATTTTTGTCTCCTTGAAATGACTACACAACCACACTGGACTGACACAAACATACCTGGGAGGGGCTCGGGTAGCTGTCATTACAGGGATATCTTCATCGGAGTCAACAATGGTGAACTGAAGATGGATAAATATGAGAACCGAGGTTGGAGGATGGTACAGATCACATGCATCAAAAATACACGTTCAGACATGTTCAGCTGCCATCTAACTTACTTCCTCTTCTTTGTAAGATTTGGTGGCTCCAGTCCGAGAAGATTTTTGAGATGGAGCTTGAAATGCTGCAGAATGAGGTGTAAAGAGGGAGAAAGAGTTGAGGTAAAAGGAAAAGAAGAAATTGAAAGATGAAGGAGCAGAAAATGTGGCAATTAACAGATTTGTACAATTATAATAATACGATTTCTGTGATATAATGTGTCTGACATATTAGAACATCACGCTTACACACATGATCTCACGCTCTCTTACCTTGCATAATGCTTCTGCTTTGGGTTGTTGCTGAGGATTTCTGGGCACGGCCCCGGCCAGCTGGCTTTGGTTCAGAGGCAGTTGCACCTGGAAGAAGAGATGAGCGACAGTGGAACAAGGATTTATGGAGGAATAGCTGTACCCCCTCAATGTATGCTTTGTTTTACCGGACTATCGCAACATCCAAGTTCTCTCTTGCTGCATTAAATGTTACTTGATCCAACTAAAATGAATTGGCACTGTGCCATATGTCACTTAAAAGAGCGCGTCTGAAAATTGAAAATAACTTTTAGATTTGCTGCCAAAATGCAGATTTAATCCAGCTTTTGAATGGTGTAAAAATAATTAGCAAAAAATGTACCTCCCAACAAGTCTGTGTAATGTCATATGGAGCGCATGGTTGAATAAATATTTAAAGCAAGATGACATGTTTATCAGGTGACTGGCATGAAACTGGAAGGATACAAACATCATTTACACTAAGTGTCAAAGGGACAGTGCCAGGAAACTTGACTGATTATGGTGTAAACAAAACACTCCTTTGTACAACTTCTGCATGCTCTACCCAGGCGTCAACATTTAATTAAAATTTAAACTGTCCTATTGTGTGCCACATGTGTTAAAAAGGCAACTCAGGATAATCAGGTCAGGTCATTGTTCACATAAAAGAAAAGCACCTTGTTTGGTGGAACCTGCCACTCAGGTGCTCAGTGTTTGCTCTGAGTCATCGGTATGCAAACATATTTGAATAATCGTTTGAGGTAGTTCCTCTATTTACCTCCATGCATCAAACAACAACTCACCTCTCCCCCTGCCCCGGCCACCCCGTCCCCGGCCTCCTCGCCCTCGGCCTCGCGTCGGGGCAGCGAATGTGGCCGAGTCCTCGTCAGAGTCCATAGTAACATCTGCAAATTCGCTGGATATGTTTGGGTCATTACTGCGTTCCAATCTGTGAGTTTTGGCTCTGTTTATAGCCTGAAAGAGAAAAACAGAAAAGTAAATATTTACAGACAGCAACAGAAGCAACGTTTCTGGCATGTGTGCATTCTGCACACTAACCTCTCTGATTTCGTTCTCCTCCTCTGTCGTGTTCTTTTTGGAGTCTCTGAATAGTTTGATCTGAAATTTCAAAATATGCACTCTTACAAAAGACATACACACGAGCACTTTGTAACGTTCTATTGTAATGTTTTGCATTTTAAGGTTTTAACCATTATTACAAAACATTTTTTCCATTTGACCCACTTTCAATGATGGCCTCACCCCCCTACCTCTGTGTCAATATCCTGCTCTGTAGTTACTCCTCTGGCCTGGAGGTGGCGCTGTGTCTTCTCCAGCTGATATGTGATCAGTTCCTGGATTGCGTCCTTCTCATCTTTTTCTACAAACTCCTGAATGGCCTTCCCCATGCCCTGCTCTGTCAGCAGAGACAGCTGTACTGTCTGTGAAGGGATGTAGACAGAGTGGTAGTGGTAATATATTGGTATTATTGATTTCATGTGAATTATGCTAATAATCACTTTGACCAACTTTGATCACTGAGAATATATTCTATCTGCACAACCCTAGAAGGGCTTTTGTGGTATTTGAGTTTAATTAATTCTTAAAAATTAGATAAAACACACAACTGATAGCATTACTATTATTATTTTCCAGACTTTTTAAATAAATTAATAATAATAAAATTACTGTAAATTATTTTGGTCATAAAACCAAATAATAAATAAGGAAAATGTGATATTGTGACAGTCCTACTCAGCAGATGCACAGTAGTTGAAAATAAGTGTTATGACAACTTGTCAGCGTGTGAATGTAAATCCATGTGTGTATGGTACCTGCTCGGCTGCCTCAAAGTATTGTTTAACCAGGTCTTCCACTCTCAGTCCCTCCACTGCTGTGTTTTTGATCAGCTTGCTGTAATCAACATTGACCTCATCTAAAAAACAAAGTTTGCATCACGTCAAATAGACAATAGTGTACACAGATCTGTGGTGTATACTGTAGGTCCATAGCTGTACATTTAGTCTGTTTCAGACCTTTGATATTCTCCTTTTGTTCACGGTGTCTGAGAAAGTGAATGATGTCTTTTGGGTTTGCCACACGGTCCACAAACTTCTGACTGAAGCGAGAAGTGTTGAACGTCTCAAAACCTCCACTGTAGTCCACCTGGGGAAGGCAAAAAAGTTGAAGAATTTAGATGAAGTGTGGATATGGTGTGTGCACATGTTGCTAGGGTGTTCTTCTTACCCTCAGGCGAATGAGAGGTTTCTCTGGGGTGAGTGGACAACCAAGTCTTTCTCTCTCAGCTTCATCTATCATCTCTGTGACCTAGAGAAGATCAGAAATAAGGTGAGATGTCAAACAATACGTCTTCCACTGGCTCTTAATGTTAGATGAAAACGTACCTTTGCATAGCACAAATCCTCCACTTTCTTTGTGACCTGGGGGGTATCAGGTGTGAAGAGGTCTTCGTAGTCAGCCAGCACCACATCCTGGATGAAGAACTGACGCACCGTCTTTAAGGGAATCTTTTGCATGTTCATCTTTCGTCCCTTCACCTTCAGCAGCCCTATGTGTCTAGAAACACACAAACAGTGATTTATTGTGGCTAATTGATCACTTAAAAACAAACTCAGGAAATGGAGGTGGTCTTTTATCATATGTGTGTGTGTTTATTTGTACTTCTTGGTGGCCTCTCCAGGGGACAGGGAGGTCGCTACAGAGCTGCCAGGCTGGGTCACGTAGAAGAGCTGTTGTTCATTTCTCGTTGGTGCTATCAAGCATTCGTGCTCGTGACCCCACACCACCAGGTCAAGAAAGTCATCCAGGAACTGCTCTGGAATGTAGTTTGTGGGTCCGTGCTTACTCCTAAACACAACACACATATTTGCAAGATAGAATGAAAACATAATGGAGAACACAGCTAGTCAATTCCAGCCATAATGCATCAAAAATGTACTTATATGCACTGAAAAAATATCAATCTAGGTACAAACACCCTGCATTCTTAATAAGTAATACTACAGAAAATATGTGTTTATCTTACAACTCTTCCCTCCTAATGGATTTCCAACATACACATACATGCACACACCTGTTCTGGTGGATGGTGAAGAGGTTAAACCAGTCATCTTGGTCTTCTTTGGGGCGAAGCATGGTTACCTGATTGTTGACAAACATCCTGTACAAGCGCTCATCTGGAATAGAACCTGCACACAAACAGCTATTGTTGGTTTTGAATAAACTCTTTTAATTAAACTCAGACATATACAGACAAAGATAATACAAATCACAGACTCACCAAGACCATACAAGGCCAGCTTGCTGTTGCCTTTCTGCAAGAGGATGGGACTAATCTCTATCCTCTCCACTGACTGGGAGTGACCAAAGTGATTTATGAGACCAGAGGCACCGAGCAGATCCAGTGCACACAAACCTTCAGCCTTGGGGAGAGACAAACAGTATTATGTACAAACAAATACAAAAGCTACACAGAGACAAACACATGTTTGCATTTTAGTGTTATATACAGATTTCTCCAATACTGGAATCAACTCACCCCAGTTGGGTCGTCATGGTTACCATGGATGCTGAACACAGGAATAGAGATGTTCAGGTTTTCATCCTGATAGTTAACCCAGGGGAACCTTCAACACAACAACATATACAGTAAACATGACAACAATAATAAAACATTCATTCAGTAGCACTGGTATGAAGGAATGACAGAGACAGAGGGACTGACTGGGTTGTGTTGAAGTTGACAGTCTGGTCACTAAGGATGTTGAAGTGTATTGGTGAGTCTCCCATGCAGTATTGTCTGAGCATAGTGATGCAGTTGTGAAGGCATCGCCGCGACGGCTTGTTCTCATGGAACAAATCTCCACCCAGCAGGATAAAATCTACCTGCATGCAAATAAATACACAAATCAGAGGGCATTCAAGACGAATGATCCTCTGTGTTGTACATTCACACATCTGTCAACTTGTATGTACCTGATGCGTCTTGGCATATTTAAGGATCTCATCCAGTGTGTTGTACGAGTCATTGCCCCGGATTGCATCCTTCTCAAGGTAGCCAAGGTGAACGTCTGTAGCAATAAGGATCTTGAAGGTATCCTCATCATCCCTAAAAAAACAAACAGCACATGATAGAACTTTGATTAGTATGAGCACTGGTATATCTCTATTAGGAGCATTGTACATTTCCTGCATTTAAACATCACTATATATGCACTGAGAAAAAAATATTTAGATATTATTCTTAAAAAGACTTACAAGATGTTCTCTGAGGACATGATGGTGTGGGGGAAATGCAGATGTTGCACCAGGTCAGACAAAATGTTTCTCCTGCAGAAAATAAACCCAGCCATGAATATCTTTATATTTATATTTTTTCACAAGTACTTTTAAGATACATTTCAGAGATGCTGCAACTATAATCACAGGGACAAATGCAAATATTAATACAAGTTGTTCTGCATCATGTACAGTAAATTGTCAGAGGCATGACTGTACTCTTGATTTCCAATAAAAAGTTGTTGTTAACACCAGAGTCAGTGAAACATACGATTTACGACACGTTTCTAAGCGATACATTAGATTGCATGTTAGCAAGCTAACCAATACTCCGTTCGTAACGCAGTAGCTAAGCTAACATATAACACTTAAAAGATAGTGAGTTAGCTTTCACTTTGAAGCCCACGAGTTCACGATATCAATGTGACAACTAACACGAAGTAAACATGTGTTTACAACATGTGTTTACATGCTGGCTCGGTCCCACCTGCAGTAATACACATTTATAACTTGAAATATTGTTTGTTATTCGCTATAAATTGGTAAATAGCTTTGCTCGATACTCACCTCCTCAAAAATCACAACTCACTCGCATTAAAATCCCGGCATGGCTTGCAAACCCCGTCCCGCCTCCCAGCAAAGCCTCATGGGTATTGTAGTGTCATTCTGAAGCATCGCCCGATCTAAACTGTAGACTTTCCGTAACAGGAAAAACTACACTTCCGGTTAGCAAGCTGGGTGCGTTTGTTTTGTTCACTAAGAGGCACCGGGTAGAGCTTTCTGGCAAAACCACCATAACACTCTCCGCACGCAGCGCCTGCCGGGCCAGACTGAGATATATATGCATCACACCCCTCCGGAGAAGCCCTGGGTTGGTTTGCTCTGCCTGGTGATGTTTTCTTTTCCCACTTCGTATTAGCAGCTGTTGAAACTGTCGAGCTAACAAGCTAACAGACGTTATTCAAAACTGCAGTTTTACTCTAAACTAGCATTAGCACATTTAGCATAGTTTACTCCCTTGGTTCAGCACAAGCGTGTCAGACTGGAGTGGCTGCATTTCAATGGAGACCCTGTCACTAACAGCTGGTGATGATGCTACGCAGGTAGTTTGAATTCATTTCGCCTATTTCAATTTGAAATGAGCAATGCGATGCATTCTTATGTTATCAGGTTAAAGTGATCAGGCTCCGTGGAAAGCTACCGAGCAGCAGTCGCTACAGCTCTGACCAGCTGATGTTGCTGCAGACCTGAAAGTGAACTGAAGTGTCACATCGGTGTTTTCATTTTGAATTCAGTGAGAGAATGACTTTCAAGTTTTAGCACATATTCACTTCACTTCCTGTGCTTTATTCTTGTGATGCCTCACTACACCGCAATATCTCTGCTTCTGATCTAATGCAATGTCAGATATACTAGAGATATATAATAATCCACCATGTTTTTTTTCTGCAGGATCTCCGTCCACCACCACCGCCTCAAAGTGGAGTCTCTGACACCCTGTCCCTGTCGTCTTATAAGGACTATCCTGCTCACAGTCCCTTCATCGACACACTGTTGCACCACACACCCAGGCATGCACGCACACGTCAGTCCTGTCGCCCATCATCACCCAGCAAAGCATTCCCAGAGACCAACAGTGCAGGTGGGTTTCATTTGTGCATGTCGAACATATTCCCTTTACAATGTTTCCATTCAGGTAGCGTTGTGTGTTACAGAGCTCCATGGTTACATGTGCAACCTGATGCCAGACAACTTCGATGTCTCAGCTTCCCTTTACATCTATTCATTCTTTCACATTATCCTTTCAGTCATATCATAGCCATATCATGTTACACATACAATGTCTGTTACCATTCTCTGAATGTATTTGCTCTCTATCAGTATGTCCCACATTCTCATATCTAATTTCTCACACACGTCACATGTGTGTGCATATACAGCGATCTTATCTGCCTTGAGGAACCTCCAGGAGAAGATCAGGAGGTTAGACTTGGATAAAGGACGTGCAGAACATGGTGTTCAAACTGTAGGCCAAGACGCATCACGCATTCATCCTCAGAGCGAGAACGTCACACGGGGACTCTCCAGTGATCAGACAGACATGCAGAGAGACACAACTGACCCGTCCAACTGTAACCAAGGTCAGTATGTGATGAAGATATCATGAGAAAAACAAATAACCAGTGACCTCTTCCGTTATTTAACTATTCTTTTATTTTTTTCTCCATATCTCTCTCCTTCCCTGCATGTCACGGCGTCCCTTCATTCTTCTCGTAGTGTTGATCACCCACCTTGCTGCTGCAGAGTCTCGCTGTGTGAAACTGGAGCGGCAGCTGGATCACATGAGGAGGATGTTGCGGAATGCCAAGGCAGACAGGACCAATCTGGTCAAACAGCAGGTTAGCCTAGTAGTTCTTAGTGTCATTAGCTGTGATAGAGAGTAAACATCTGAATAGCTGTCATTAGTGAGTGAGTAAATGTGTCGATTTTTATTTTTGTTCCCCATGTTGTCAGGTTTCCATGGATACCGTCAAGTTAGCTGATCACCAGCCTGACAAAGTGTTTGAGCGTGCTCACGTGGAGAAGCTGGAGCGACTGGAACAGGAGTATCTTAATCTCACACGCACGCAGAACAGTGCTGAGGTACAGAGTTAACTGACTTCAACTTCTGAGCTCTGAACACTGTCATAAGGAGGAGCGCTTTATGATCCAACAGCATAATTAAATATTCATAGCTATGACAGTGACACAGAAGATTTAGCATTTTTATGAAGAGTGAATGAAACTAACTCCTCAAGCTTAAGCTCAAAATCTCTGTGAGAATGAGGCAGAAACTTTGGCCAAAAAACAGACATTATCCATGAATCTAGGGCAATGATCCCCAGTCTGTGGATTGGAACTCCCTCATGGGGCCTTACATAAACCTGAGGGTTCAGAAGTTGATTAAAGGAAAAAGCAAACAAAGCGTGAAATATTTTATTTATAAAAAGTGATTTAATTTTCTCACTTCACTGGATACTCCTACCTTGTCAAACAAATTTGAAAAGGAAAAGATAACATTGACTTAAAATCACACATTATCAGTATGCCCCAAAACCTTCTGGATTTAGATCTACGTTTACATTTGTCAGGAAAAAGGCACACATTCAGCTCCTGTCATACAATAATAATGGTTATGTGTGAATTTGTCAGATGAAGATTCGTGAACTAGAGATGAAACTACAGGAGGAGGAGCACCAGAGAAAGCTCATTCAGGACAAGGCCATCCAGGTAGTGAGACATAAATTGTTCTTTGAGTTTAAATTCTATACATAACACTCACTATTGGCAGGTTCTAATGTTTCTTGTTACTGAAAGGAATGTTAGTCCTGTTTTATACATTTAATGCTCAATGTAAATGTTGAAACACTCACGTTTATGCATTGTTTACTGTATGTGGTGTTATTTTCCTTTCCTGTTTCCACAGCTACAGACAGGTTTGGAGGCTAACAGGATCCTGCTGCAGTCAGTGTCACCTCGCCTGTCCACCAGACAGTCCAAAGAGAAGAAGTCCAATTCACAGGTAAAGACCTTCACATGGGCCATTTAAGGTTTTCTGTTTGACTGGACTGTGAATATTGCGTTTCCTTTTGTATACATAAATGCTTGAACAAACACAAGTGCGTCTCTACAGTGTTTGTGCATCTGTGAATGAAAAGGAAGGATAGTTCTTAATTCTTTCTGATTTTCTTGCTGGAAAAATCACTTTATTCTATTCTAACCTCTTCCTCCCAAGCATCTTCCTGTGAATGTTAATGTTGGTAATGCTGATATTTTTTTCTCCCCAGAAAACTTCGCATCAGCAGTTGTCGAACACACAGCCACACTTTAGACTGAGCCTCAGGGATGTTCCGTTTGTTGCTGGAATGGTAATATTA